TCTTTTTTTTTTTTTTTTTCGATGACTACATGGCCTTCTCTCGTTCCATCCCCGAGCGAAAGTAGTAATCGAACGGACCGATCGAATCGGTCGAAGTTCGAGAGGCAGCTCTTCGATTCCCGCCCGATATCCTTTCGCTCCAATTTTCCAATTCAAGCAAGAATTCGATGCACAAACGGTGCTCGAACGATCAGAATTCCGAGAAAGACACCCTTCTAATTCCCTACAGCCAGGCACGATGGACGAAGGCGAGAGATGGATTGCACCATCGATCGATCCAGTTTCGAAGTCAGTCACCGAAAAAAGAATTCTCGTGGAAATCGGCCCCGCGAGGCATCGCGTTAGGGGGACAGGAGCCGGACGTTTCGGCCACGGAATTTCGCAATATCATCATCGGCCGCGTTTGTGCGCACTTTCTCCCGCGCACGTTCTCGATCGACGGGAAATATGAAAATTTTTTACGAATTTATGTTACGGCCAATATTATTGTTACGCGTTACACGATTTAATTTAATAAGCGAAACAGGTGAAACTCGAAGATAATTATTTCGGAATAATTATTGAATCGTTCGATCGCGGATTTTTATGCAAATTTTTTTACTTCTTTTTTTAATATCATTTATTTTTATTATTTTTTAACACAGAGATTTCCCTTCGTTCTCAAACATCGTTCTCGCATATATCTGATTCGGATATTTTTATCTATGCAATTTCGATCGATTATCATTGCACGTTGTTATATTACTTCTATTCATATTCGGAATTAATTTAATCTCTCTAAAAGATAATTAAGAATTTTGAGAGGAATTATTAGGAGGAAATTTTTTTTTTTTTTCAGAATTGGAAATGGAAAAAAAATCTTTTTCGATCGTTAAAAAAATTCAATTTAGGAAAGTAAATGAAAGTGGAATGACGAAACGTGACGCATATTTATAAGATTTGAATTTATGTAATTTCATATTCTTGTTATTATCAGATTGTCAAGTCGTTTGAAGTCAAAAATGACTCGTTTATCAGATTGTTAGAGTTAATTAATATTTTAGTATGATATTTTAGTAAACAATATGATAATCGTAAATATAAGAAATTGGCTTATAATTATTATGTTCTTGTTACACGAAGAGAATGAGTAGTAAAAAATGTATACGGATAATCTTGTTACAAGAAAGTCGTATTTTCTTCCGCAAACGATTGTTGTACACGTAATAAAACATTCGGATACTTATTTATGCATAATTAAGTATACCAATTATAACGTGAATATATTAATTAAAAACTACAGGAATTCAAACGTTGTAATTTAACTTATGTATTCAAAATAATAAAAATTTTGTTACGAAAAAATATTCTACATAATATTAAACGAAATCTATATATCATCATATAGATATTAAAAGATTATCTTAAATTTTTTTTCGAATAATTAAATTTAAAAACGATTATTTTCTATAAAGAAGTATCAAACATCTTTTATCTAATAATTAATAACATACTTTCACTTTTCATCTAATTTTAACTTTGTAAAAAAAAAAAAAAAAAAAGAACATCATGCATTATGCATTTATGGAATGCAAATCGTAAAAATATATTTTGCATAATATCAAATGGAATTTATTGTTCGTATATAAATATTAAAACGATTTTGAAATATTTTTTTTTATTTCTTTTCCAACAATCAATACCTTATTAAATTTAAAAATGATTATTTTTCACAAAGAAAAAGAAGTATCTTCTATCTATAATAATTAACGATATATTTTTACTTTACCTAGTTTAATAATTTTATACAATTTTTTACGGAAACTTTATAAAAAAAAAAAGTGAAATTAACCTGAAAAACGTAAAAGGTATATGTTACCATCGATCGAGACGAGAATTATCAGGAGACTAATCGTAACGATCTGTCGCGATTACGCGATTAATAAACAAGTTCTCTCGCCCGCATTCCCGATCACCTATCGATCTTGTACGATTGCCGATCCGAAGCTCAAGCTGTTATACATTATTATACTAGGCGAAGGCCGATCACTCGCCAAGGCGCCATTCGCCGCTAAATCGCGACACATCGACAGTCGATCGCCGCGAGACCTTTGCAAAACTTTGCCAATATAAATGGCCAGGATTGGCAGTGGGACGGGTCGGCCTTTCCGCCAATTAATTCTCCCCGAAAAACGAACTTTTACAATTCACCCTCGAAACTGACCAACAACTCGTCCCGAGATATTGCTCGCGCGATCACTCACTCGTCCAACTAGAAAACTATTTCGAAGCGACGGATGGAAAAAAAAGAAAAAAAGAAAAAATAAAAAAGCGCGTATTACGAAATACAATAAAAAAAAAAAATAATAATAATAATAGGAAAAATACGCACAGAGAATGAGAGAAACACAGAGATTCTGTTACACGCGCATCTTGTACAATGTGTGTAGGATGCGGTGGTTGGAAGAGAGAAAAAGGCGAATCAAAACGGGTAGGAGGTGTGCACACCTCTTACGAGTTTACGAGGCCTACGCCGAACAGAACGAGCGGACAGTTACCTTTCTGTTTCGAGACCGCGAGGATCTACCTACCTCCCGCTATAGCCGTGAGGTAAATGGTGAATTGCTTCTCGGTGAGTTGTTTCGTATAGATTTTCGTGTAACATGTAATACGGTATAACCACGGTAGCGAGCTTGTAAAATTGATAAGAAACGACGATAATGGGATGGGATTGTTAGGAATTGTTTTTGACGGATCTAAAGATCGGATAAGAGGACGAAAGAGAAGTTGAAGAAGTAGGCAGTTTAGAATAGGAATGTAGCATGATGCTGCTTCCTTTCTTTGATTCGCAATGATTGTGGCGCGTTATATTTGTAATATATATTATAAATTTTTGAGAGAAAAATTCAACATTGTTCATTGGATAAGATAATCTGTACGAATGAATTTTAATTTTTCCCTTGATATTGTTATACAATGTAATGAAGAAACTTTTCTGAATTTAATAAATTTCAATTAAAATTCGGATCGAGCCGATACTATGGAACTGGGTTAAACGCGGAAACGAAGAGCTTGTATGTTCGTTTAGATAAAACTTTAATAGTATCAATATATTAGAACAAATGTGACGAAATACTATGTACAGATCGTAACGAATGCGAATTTAATTAATTTAACATTGAAAAAAAATTAAGTAAATAAGATATAATTAATTAAATTCATAAAATTATGCAATAAAAGATTACAAAGTTAATTAAGAAAATGACTTATAATTTAAACGTAAAATTGTTTAAATTAATTATAATATTTTTATATTGTCTTTTTTTAAAAATAATCCAAAGAAATATAACAACGATCAACTGGCAAAATTTCGTTATTCCCTGGGCGAGTATTGCACGCGATCGTGCACCAACCGCCGTTGCGCGAATCGAACACAATGTAAGCAGAGTTCGCGTTTTTTTTTTTACAATGAAACGGTTAAAAATACTGATTTGTTGCAAGCGATATCGTTCCGCTGTCGTGAATTAAATTTTGCAACGGAAAATTCTGAAACAATAACTAACATTTAACGAAACACAAGTTCGTTAACTAGGTATTTCCTGCTTGTACTACACACATTTATCTTATCTTTCGATCTCGTTCCCTTTCCAGATCGTTCGAGGAGAAGGTGTGAAAAAACAAGATGATCGTTTCGTTGCTTTACGGGTTGTTAACATGGACCGTGGTCCAAGCGATTTCCACGCCATGGAATCCATCGTTTTCAACCCCAGCAGCCAGAATTCTACATCCAGTCACTGCTATCTACCAAACTAGTCCTGCACAGACGTTTTATGATGCAGGAAGTACGTCTTTGCTGGCACAGCGCGAGCAAGACGCATGCGCCCTATATAAAGTCGCGATGAAGCAGCAATTTTACTTTGAGGTGAGAAAATGGAATGTAAAAGATTTGGATAGAGTTTCAAATTAAAAATAGAATTTCAGATTTATAGTTTTTTGAATGATGAGTATAATTGTTATTTCAAAAAATTAATGAGCTTGCGAAGAACATAAGTATCTTTTATATTGTGTTAATTTATGTGAATTTTCTTGAAGGGAAGATGCACATTTCTATATCTTTAAATACAAGAAAAAATAAAATAAATCAATACAAAATCAATTATTACGTT